ACTCCCTCGTGTTAAACAAAAGACATGTAACCTTCAATTGGTATTGATTATAGCTAGATTTCAGTCCCCGTCGTTGCACAACACGGTATTTGTTGAATTTTTGTAGAGGCCTCGTTAAATGCTCTCTCAATTTAATATCATATATCCCTTCAAAATTTTAAGCACTTCTAATAATAGCATGTTAGTTTGTTTACAATGTATCAATTTGTTATTATTCGATCCTGTATACATTTTATTTCACGAATCATCACCCATGCGGTCCGTTTATTATAAGTTATTCTAACATTAACAATTTATAATTACTCTTGTGTGTACTAAATGTTATGTTCAGGCATGTTTTTTTTTTTAAAGGGGAATGTAAAAAATGCAAACATGGCAGAAAAGTCTTACCCCTAATTATAAAGTAAGGGATTATTACTACTCATACAACAATGAAAGAAACGGTGCCAGTTGCATGGCCCTTTTAATGGCAGGCAATTTTTTTTATTATTATTATTTTATTTTATTTTATTTTATTTTTTTAACGATTGGCATTGTTCCTTTCATGGATGAAGAAATGGTGACCGTCCGTGCACTTTACAATGTGCAAGATTCATACCCTTGCCAGAGAGCGAGCCACCGGTTGATTAATCAGCCATTAGTCAATATCTTTAAAAAAAATTGTTAAATAAATAAGGGTATTTTTTTGCTGGGCAAAAAATGTATTTTTAAATAAACTTACATATTTAACATATTTATAACTTTTGACTGGTTATTGTCATAAATAAAATATAAAAATAATATAAATGAGAAAAAGGAGGAGGAAGAGGAGAATAGAGACAGTGTCGATGAGGATGGCTTTTTTTTTTTTTTTTTTCCTTTTAAGAATTCTCTTTCATACATGAATCAATAAATATATATATATATATATATTTTTTTTTTTGAAATTAAAAGGTCATTATTGCTCTAGACAAATTGAAAAACTCCATCACCCTATTTTTGGGACAATATAAACAAGGATGACTTTTTTTTTTTTTTTTTGGTATTCTCTATCGTACATGAGTCAATAGACTCATATATTCTTTGTAATTGAAAGGTCATTGATCCTTTAGACAAATTAAAAAACTCCACCACACAGTTTTTGAATCAAACTATCTCCATGTGATGAACAACTATCAACAAATTTTTTTTAAAATAATACCTTATACTTATTTGATAGGAGCTTGTATTAATAACTTGTTATGAATAACAGATAAAAAAAAATACAAATGAGAAGAATGAGGGAAAAGAGGAAAATAGAGATAACATAAATGAGAATGACCCCTTTTTTTTGTATTCTCTTTCATGCGTGGATCTATAAACATACATATTCTTTTAAAATTGAAAGGTCATTAATTCTCTAGACAAATTGAAAAACTCCACCACGCCATTTTTGGGACAATATAAACAAGGATGACTTGTTTTTATATTCCCTTTCATACGTAAATCAATAAACACATGTATTATTTGAAATTGAAAGGTCATAAATCCTCTAAACAAATTAAAAAACTCCATCACACCATATTTTGATCAAATTATCTCCATGTGATGAACAACGGTCAATAAGCAATTTCTAAAATAATATCTTATACTTATTTAATAGAAACTCATGATGATAACGTGTTATGAATAAACAACATGTTACTTTACATTTAGTAATGTAAAGTGACATGGGAAGATGGACATTTATATAATTAACATATGAAAATGAACATCCATTCGCAATGTTTATATTTATAACAATTATAAATTTTCTTGATTAATTAAGTATTTCTTTTTTTTTTAAATAAAAATGAATCATGGTAGTATACACGCTCACTTTTCTTTCCCAGCTTGCCTAGTTGTTGGCAGTCCTACAGACATTGAATAAATTAAACGTTTGGAATATTATTTTTTTACATTGCATATTGCGTAGTGCATCATCAAGTAAAGGGGTAATCTAGCACGTTCTTTTCAGGCATCATCACTCATCAGTGGGAAAAACGCGTTTTTTTTTTTTTTAAATGTTCAGTTCACGTTAACGCAATGTCATGAGTAAATTCTGGAGAGACAATTGTGCTTTCTGGTGGTTTGAGATTCTGAGTGGTGTGCACATGCCAAGTTTTGCTTTCTGATTGAGATAGGCGAGAAGACATGTGCCCGCCATTTTTTAGGGGGAGACTCAAATAAAAGGAGAAGCAACATCTTCATTTCTTTCCTTTCATTTTTCTTCACTTCTCTCATTTCAACTATTTATTAATTTTATAATTTTAAAAAATTTATTTAAGAAAATAATATGAATAGTTGAGATAGAGAAAGTGAAGGCCAGTGAAGGACGTTTAAAGGCATCGGCTCATGCTTGATGGAATTCATTAGATGCCACCATTCATTCTCATCCGCTGCAAATGTTCGTAATTTAATAATACTGCATCCTCTGCGCTTGAGTCAGAAAGCTTTATTGTAAGAGTCGAATAACAAAACATACATGACAGTCAAAGAAAAATTACATCCATATACATTATTAAAATAAAATAAATATTTTAATGTATATATTTTTATTTAATTCTACACCTATATAATCAAAATAAATATATATCTTTATTTTTTAAGTTTTGCACATCAATTTTTTATAGTGTAAGAATAATTAATTACTCTCTTCATTAAAAAAATAAGATATTTTTAACTGAATCTTACTATTAATAAAATAATTACTTGTTTTTAAATTAACATAATCTTTCTATATTTATCTTTATTTGATAAGGTGTCTCATTTCAAAATGAATATAAAGTAATTTTTTCACTAGGAGCAATTTTGAAAAAACTTAATAATTATATCTTGAAATGCTAAAAATACTTTATATTTTTTAATAGAGGAAGCATCATATTTATGATAAAATTTTTAGCAATTTTTATCTGTTGAAATCTAAAGTTTTATTTAATCTAAAAAAACTCTATTATTTATATACTGATTTTTCTATTTAATTATTTCAATTTATAATCATAGAAAATAAAAATGTTAACATGATAATGATATTCAATTGTCATAAATTTTTTATGTCAATGAGATTTAAGCACATTACAGTAAAAATGATTCATATAATAAATTTCAATAGCTTGGTTACTACAAAAAAAGTAATTTTTTTATAAAAATATATCTTAATCATAACATCTTAGCTTTTAGATAAGTAGTTTTGTAAAAGATACTAAGCAAATATTATTCAATATATCTTGAAATTTTTATTGCAGTGCTTAACAAAGTCTATTAGTAATAATTCTTATAATTTTTTTATTAAATATAAAATAAAAGCAAAATCAAATAACATCAATGTTTTAAGAGTAACCGTAGTATTATCTTGTTGAAAATAAGTAAATTATATAACAATTATATCTCAAAGCTACTGAAACACATAGATTATACATGGGTAAAAAATTATTATAGAATTAAAATGAGAATTTTATTTAATATTTTAATGTTTCTATAATGTGCCAACTTAAAAGGGGCCTAAAATGTATAATTCCTGAATTTTACTAAAAAAAATTAAAAAATTAGAGACTGTGGCCCTTGCTGACCTCTTGTCTCCACCCTTATTTGCGAGTTCTGAGTAATTAGTTTTTTTTCTTGTCTAATTTATTGGTACTCTATGTTTGACCATCAATTATTATCTTATCAACATCATTAATTTCTTATTCTTGTTCTTAACCTCACCTCACCTTTGCCAATTATTAATTATTGTGATTAATTGTATTTTGAGTCGAAATTGTACCGCAGTTATATAGTACCGTTTTAACCCAATTTTTTTAATCTCTTTCGTTTTTATAGTTCATAATAAAAAAAAATACTTATTAATACTTATAATTTTATTTTATTTTCTCACTGATTTCTGTATTTTCTTTTACTCCGAATCTCAATAATCTTTCTAGTCTATAATAACATTAATTTTTCTATTTTAATTGTGTCCAAAAGGATTGTTATAAAAATTCATTAAAAACTGAATTTATGAAAATTTTTCTACTTGGCCATTTTTTAATGATCTTCAGTTAAATACATCAATTCAAATGAGCTAGTCAGCGCGTGCGTGCGTGACCACTGATCAGGGGGCCGACGCACTTGCACGCGTGAACCGCTTGCCGTTCATTCCCAGTCTAACGACGTGTTTAGAGGGAGGGTAGAAGATTTTAATCGAAAGGAGGAAAGGGAACGAATGAAAGGGTGATAAGGAAGGAAGGAAGATTTAATAATCATCTGAGATTGAGAAGCCAATACATTCTAACGAGTCTTTGTTTGGTATAAGGGGGAGAAAAGAAAAGTTAATAATAAGTTGATAATTTTATTTTTATTAAAATTATTTTCTATTTTTAATTTTGATTTATTATTCAAAATAGTTATATTATAACTTATTAATCTATTATTTTAATAATGTCAATAAAATCTAATAATAAGTTCAAAATTTCATCTTTATTATTTATTATTTTTATCTTTATTAAAATAATTATTAGAATTTATTAATTTCTTATCTTGATAATGTTGTTGGTTCCAGAAACTTTTTTTTTTTAATAAAGATGTTTTTTTTCCTTTGATTCCAATAAAAGGATACTAAAATTTTATACATAAATGAACTATTCACTAGATTTTATCAAAAAATAAATTTCTTTTATTATAAGAGGAGGTAAAATCCGAAAAAATATATATACTATATATATATTGTTATGTATGAACAATTTGAAAATTTTAAAATAATACAAGGATAGTTTAGTCAAACACAATTTCTTTCATTCCTCTTTCCCCAAAAAAAAAAAAAAACGCGGTTTGAAGAAGAGGGGACTCGGCGAAGGGAGATTTCCTTTATTTATTTATTTATTTTTTTGGGGTGAAAGATTTCCTTTAATTTTTAAATTAAAGGATGTGTTTTCCTCCTTTTCGTTTTTTTGTTTTTTGTTTTTTTTTTTTATGAACTAAATAAGGGACTTGTTCTCAACTAAAACTGCAAAACATACTCTCTTTTTTTGGGTGGGGAGGCGGGGGGCGGAAATCCTAACCAAGCATAACCTACATTTTTCAGGAACGTTTGGAAGATTGTTTGGATTTAAACGGCCCAGCCGTAACGAAGCCTTAAAATGCCCGGCAAGCCTCCTTTCCCTGTATAATGTATTACTCTCATATCTCATCTTCTAGTCTGAACCAGATTAAGCGGATAACATAATTGAAATTACCGGATCTTCTTTGGCATTGCATTGTTCGGTTCATTAACCACGCTTGTAAGTACAGTACCTCCTTCTGAGTACGCAGCTCCGTGTCGTTTTGGCGGGCACGTGACATGGCGAACCTCGTGTGGGTTGGCATTTTCATAGGACTTGCTTTTAGCGAATGGGTTAATGGGTTCGCCGACTATCACCTCAACGAAACAGAGCTGTCTTTGTTGGAGGCTCATGAAGCATCCTTGGTTGGCCCCAATCCCCTGCTCGTAGGACTTACCCTCATTCATGGTGCTGCTGCTAAAGGAGCAGGTATTATCCGGTGACTCGCAGCCTCGCTATTCATTTCAGTTTCTTTTTATCCATTCACCTCTATCTTTCCTTTGGGTTCTACGGCCTTCATTTATATTTAAATTAAATTCTCTGAGTTTCTACTTCTGATAATTTTAAGCACATTTTCTTTGTTCTTTGTATGTAAGCATTGTTTGGTGTTCGGAGCTAATCTGTTATTCTATAGCCACCAAAAAAATCTGTTATTCTGTATACTAATCTCGTTTTTCGGTTGCTGGGGGTGGTGGTGCGATTTATTTAGCTTATTGGACGTATCTGCTAATATTTTTCACTTTCAACATCTTCTATTTCCTACCATATCCTTCTTCCTCACTCTCTTTCTCGCATTCCTTCTGTGGATTGTTTGTGTTTGGCAGCATTATGTATGGCCGGGTGCAAACCAGTTCCTTGATTGATTAACCAAACATATGGTCGTCTTGAAGAATTAGAGAATAAGATATGTTATGAAGAGCAATATTTATTGTTATAAATTATGATAATAACAATAATATTGTCTTAGAGTTTCGGAGTTTCACATTGACTACAATAAAATTGTCTCCAATTGGGCTGAATGTACTTCCTTTCTTTCGATGGCAGTCTGTTTGGATGGAACATTACCTGGTTATCATTTGCATCGAGGATATGGATCCGGAACAAACAGCTGGCTCATTCACTTGGAGGTTTTGCTTTTTCATTCTAAATTTTGTCTCTAATTTTTTTTTCCTATGCTGTATACTGAAACTATTCAGAGGTAAAGTCCGCGGCTCTTCAAAAGCTATCCACATTTCTAAAGTATTAATTTTATTGACCAAGCTGCATTACAGCTATGGTGTAATAATTTCTGTTGATCTTCAAGTGAAAAATCATGTGACGGGGAGGTGGTTGGTGTAGTAGTGTTAGATCATGTGTTTTCCGGAAGACAACGAGACGTGGATCGTCGAATTTCATGGAACAGGAACTCCTTTTTACGGGAATATTAAGCAATAATGCTGAACAAAATCCAGGTTTCCGTCCTGTCACCTCCCTGGATAATCAAATTCTGCCTTTTCTTTGCTCTTCTAAGACTCCAATTGCCTTGCTCACATCCTTGTTTCCTGTGATTTTAGATTTTTTCAACTGGAACAGGGTGAGGCTTCGTTATTGTGATGGTGGTTCTTTCACCGGGGATAGTGAAAACAAGGTAATTGGATTGAGTCTTTCTGTTCACTACTTTTATGACTACTATCATCATAATCATCATTATTGAATTTAATTATGATGCGGCTGCCAAGAAGGTAAAATAACCCAAAAGAAGAAAACTAAAGAAAAAGGGCCTGCAGTTCAAATTTGTTATAATATGTGGAATATAACCTTTTGATTACTTACACATGCTTGAATCAGTAATCGTGAAGAATGAGAAGTTCTCATGAATATAACTACAAGTTCTACAAACTTCTATTTTGTTTTCATATTCCTTAATTCTCTGGTACCGTTAATTGTAGATACTCACATTTATGAAATAGGGAAACTCTGTGAAAGAGGCATGAGGAAGAGAATGTTGGTGATTAGTATCCTTACCTTTTCAATTCCAATCAAAGCTTCTTGCCCCAAAAATATTAAAGCTTCTGACATTCATGATCAGACAAGGTTATTCTAAATGACTTGTTTGTGTAAATTGTCTGTTTGAGATAGAATGCTACGCTGAAATTTAGAGGACAACGCATTTGGTTGGCCGCAATGGAAGATTTGCTGTTAAATGGAATGCGTCACGCCAAGCAGGTTGTACAGTCACTTGTATCCAAAATAATACTTGAATAATCATTTTTCTCGTCACATGTACAACTATTTGTGCTGTAGGCCATTCTTTCTGGATGCTCAGCTGGTGGTCTGGCTGCTATTATACACTGTGATAAATTTCATGGTCTATTTCCGAGTACTACTAGAGTGAAATGTTTGAGTGATGCTGGGTTATTTCTTGATGTGTGAGCAACTAACCACAGTATTTCATGTTGCCAATACCTTTTCTGACATTGCAGCAGGATTTTGTTTAGTAAATTAGTTGTTAACTGTTGATCTATCTCGAATCATAGGGCTGACGTCTCAGGTCGTCGTACTCTCAGAAATCTATATGGTGGTGTTGTAGGATTGCAGGTACATAATGATTTTTTTTTTTTACCGTTGGTTACTTTCCTATTGTCGTCTAGGACCTTTCACGCTTAAACTTAGCTATAGCTCAGATTGCAAGTAATCGAGTTAAACTTTGAAAATCTTCTGATGAGAAGCAGGATCTTCCATGTGCCAAATGTGCTGTATGGTTTGATGAATTGATCATTTGAGTTTAAGGCATGTGGATTAATATGTTGTGCATAAACTTTGCAGGGGATGCGTAAGAATCTGCCACGCATTTGTACCAGCAGCCTTGATCCCACTTCAGTAATGCCCCGTTTCTTCTATCCTGAAAATTCAGAAATATTATGTGGAAAATAATTTGCTCGCTCGTATTCTAACTATGGCCGATACTTTTATTTTGGAATCTCAGTGTTTCTTCCCTCAGAACTTGATTGCCAGTGTTAGAACCCCACTATTCATTCTCAATGCTGCCTATGATACGTGGCAGGTAGGTTGTCTGATTTTATCATTTGGTAAAACACCTGGTTATCTTGTTAAACGATACTGTTATAATCTCTGCCAATTGAGTTGCATTATATTTATTATTGACATATTAGACTTAATGTTTATGTTTTCCTGGTCACATCAGATACAATCCAGCATCGCTCCTCCATCAGCAGATCCCCATGGCTATTGGCATCATTGCAGATTAAACCATGATAAATGTACTAGAAATCAGATCAACTTTCTGCAAGGTGATTTATTATTGGGAAATTTTCATTTGAATCACGTAGAAATCCTCATTGAGCAAGTCAGTGCATGAAGAGACTCTGTTCTTTGTGTGATACAGGATTCAGAAATCACATGTTGGATGCCATTGAAGACTTCTCAAGATCAAGTCATAACGGATTGTTTATAAATTCTTGTTTTTCTCACTGCCAAACCGAGAGGCAGGATACATGGTTTGCCCATAATTCTCCTGTCATTGGGAAAAAGGTGAACCTAATCAACGACGATTCATTACTACAGTAATTTAAAAAATTTTAAACTGTAGACAATTGTAACCACATACTTCATGCTGGGTTGCTGGCTGATAGTAAATTGGAACCTGTGATCACTTAACTTTATGAAGCTAGCCATAAAAGATTCACACTGAGAAAACTTGCAGAAAATGTTGTATTAAGGACGATAGTGACATGTTTTGGTATCATCTTCAGTATCTCTCTGCTGTTCAAGATACTGAATTAATGTGCAGTAATGAGATAACCTATAGTAACAGAAAATTTGATTTAGTCTCTTCAGTTTAAGATCTGTGTATTGATAATTGATACAAATTAATATGCAGGCAATTGCTGAGGCCGTCGGAGATTGGTATTTTGAACGAGCAGGTGTGAAGGCCATTGATTGTGCTTACCCTTGCGATCAGACATGCCACCATCTGGTTTTCGAATGAGTCTGCCCTCAATTTCACTCATCTTATCAGTTTCCACCACTTCAATTCAGCCATTGAACTCGGAGCATGCCATTCGTTCAAAGTCTACGGCACAATGTATTAATAGATAAATAAATAAAAGGGTCGATGATCAGTGCAAATTCTGTCAGTCAACTTACAGCATAATTGGTGAAAGCTATTTTATTACTTACTTCAGTCAATGCTGAAGCAGCAAATGCCCTGCATTTCTTAAATATTATTTTCCAAGTGGGGAGTTACATTTTCTGTTTACTTATATGAACCCGGGGGCTTGGATGTGACCCCATGTCTTTATCACTTGTTTTTAGCAGCTATATCAAGGTTATCCCATTGCGAAAAAAGTGACTTTTACTCGTGAGTTACCACTACGAGTTAGACCATGTATCCAGGCATATTTATTTATTTCATGTATCTTGAATGTCGATGACGTTGTAGTATTATTTAATATATAATGGGGTGTTCTTACCCATTATTATTATTATTATTATTATTATTAGTAGTAGTAGTTATTAATAAATCCTCCACTAGTCTTATTTATAAGTTACTTTTAATATGTCTTAAAATTTAATATGAAAAACTTTAAAATTTATTAACTCTGTTTTAAAATTTAATAAATTTTTAACTTTATCTTTATTAAATATACATACTTTATAATATATTTTTTTTAATATTCAAAGGAGGGTAAAAGAGAAAATTTGTAATAAAAATTTAATGATTTAAATTTATAAATAGGAATAAATTTTTTTTATCTCTCTACTCTAGAAATAAGACTAGAAGGAATATAATAGTAGATAAGAATATACACTAATGTTGTATTTTTTAATATAATTATTAATAAATATAATTATGAATGTCTTTCTTTTACACAAATGTTGTAATTTTTATGGTTCAACAAGTTTTCAATAATTCTATAGGATGATGATATTCATTTATTCAAATGATTTTAAACTTTTTTAATTCTTTTTTAGTTTCTCTAGCCGACAAATTCCTCTCCTGTGTAATGACAGGGATAACGCTAGTTTTCCATTAAAACCAAGTACTATTAGATTTTATATATCTTAATATATAAATGTATTTTTATTTTTAATATTTATTATAAAATATGCTATTTAATAGTGTTTTACTATGTGTACTTAAAATTATATTTTTTTTATCAATATTTAAAACTAGATGTTGATTATGTGAATTAGAGATAGTAATTTATAGAATTAATATTGAAGACCGAGGTAATTATGTTTACTGCATGTTAAGAATATAGCTGTTGAATGTTAAAAAGTAAAATATAATTTTAAATTCTTCTATCTTACTTGCATTTTATTATAGGTGTATATATTTTTTTTAATATTTCAAATTTATGTACTTTTATTTTTTAATGTTATAAGTCTCTCTAAAATATTAAAAAATAAAAATATAGGAAAACTGAATATTGAAAAAAGTACAAGGTTTTATTGCAAAATGTGATTAAAGTAGGACCCCAAGCTATGTTTAAAAAAAAAAAAAAAGAATTGGACAAATCTCCTCGCGCGGGGGCGGTGCGGCGGAGTCCATCACCATGGACCCCCGGCAAGGTCAGCTCATCCTTGTAAGTCAACTCTACGATGCAACAACAGTTGGGATGATTATTTGTGGACTGCGTAGAATTAACACATCGAATAGACAAATTTATTTTCAATACTAAACTCAAAAATTTTAATCAGCCCTAATTTCCGGAGATGCGATGAGTTCTACTGGAGCCGTCGCTAGCAATAGTCTGACTAGCATCATCATGACGTATCACTCTTTCAATTCATGGTCATATTCATCAATTATTGATCAACCTGTGAAATGCATTTGGCTAATGCAGGCTAAGGAAATATCAAAACCTGTGGCGATCTTTCTCTGGCTCCTTCTCTTGCTTTCAAACGGTAATTACAATTACAAATGCCCTAACGCCATCTTTCTTACTTCCCAACCTATTCCCAATTCATTGTACTTTCAATTTCTGCCTTATTTTTATTCGCCTTTTCTTTATTTAAAAACTATGCATAAATTATCTGTCACGCAGAACAAATCTTCTGATGAGACTATTTTATAGACATTCATCAGCACCGTCATTATCAGCTCAATGATAATATCGTCATCATATTAAACAAATCTGCTTATCATTTCCATGTCTTTATAATCCTACAATTATATGAACGCAGATAATTAAGAACAAACAACTCTCTTGGAGGCTCAATCACTATATTAGTATTCTATGGGAATCAAACTTGGGATTGCATAGCCTCCACCACCGTTATCCCTCTCGGGATTTTTGTTCTGTTCCTGCATCCTCATGATTGTGGGACCCCAATAATTTGTTTCACATGCACGGGGATTTTATACATACAATCGCTATCGCCTACCAATTATACAATGTACAAGCTTGGAAATTATGTAATGACAGAGTAGACTTTTTTGAATGTGCGTGCACATGGACAATGAACCATGGTACGAGTAGATTGTGTGAAGAAATGAAAAAGAATGACTTACCACGTATGGCTTCAGAATTTTCAACTTGTCCTTTGTATGCATTAACAATCCTGATGCTTAAAGTATTCGATTTTCTTCATTATAGGGACATCTTTGATTAACATGACATATGCAATGCTTCATTTCCTTCTTTGCCTTTTCAAATAAAAGCTTCATTTTCTTCTTATTGTGAAGATAACGTGCTTGTTGAAGTTTGAACTCGTTAGCTGAGTGGAGAAATGTTATGTGAAAAACGGAAAGGCCATCACTGTCGTAGCAGATGCAGTGAAACAGTTTGACCCGAACTTCTTTGGTGACGCAAATGAAAAAGTGTGATATGATCACTTTTACTTTGACTTTAGTTTTCACTTTGCTGGACCTAAAAGGGCGAAATATTTACTTTTCTTGTTACAACATAGACAGCTCTCTTTCTCGGTTTCCCTGTAGATAAAACTATTTAACTACCTTGAAAGCAGTAATTAATGATCTTTGGGACCTCACATAGGCCTCTCAGAGACAGGGTGAATAAAAAACTTGTCTCTGCGGTGGGGGTGATGCTTCTTCTCAACTCTCACCAAGGTGAGGCATTCTTTCATTTTCTTCCCCCTATTTTCACTGGGCCATTTCTGTCATATCTGTGAAAACACCCTAACCCCTCCTTTGATGTTGCTATTTCAGCATCAGGAGATGTCCACTGGAGGACCCCATTCTCTGGCACAAAGGTTACAAGAGGCTTAGGCCCACGCTAATGACGTCTCATACAGAATGCTGTTGTTATATAAAGGGCACAAATCGCGTCACCTCTCTATGAACTGCAGTAAAATATCCTCTTCTCTGACAACGGGTTACTTTATCTTCTTTCCATCAATTTTTCACTCTTCTGCGTCCTTGAGATGATTTTAACTGTAGAAGTGCTTTTTGTATTCGTTATGGGATTAAAACTTATTCCCCTATTTCACAACTAGCCGCTGGTTTGCCCAAAATTTTCTGAATGATTTTTGCCTATCTGTTCTAGATTTGTTTATTTGGAAATTAAATTTCTGCCGGGGAACTGGTTTTGATATGGTGGTGGACATCATCGGATATCCTTTTGAAAAGGGGAAACCAACGTCTCCATTTTTAAGTCATTACCTTCAGCCATTGAGAGGTAGGGGAAGTTAGCTCTGGATGTCGAAAAAGCGAAAACCATCTCATTCTGTGGGAGACAGTGATGGACACCCATTTAAGACATGGTCCCTTGAGGTTTGAAGAGAAAACAAGATGGGAATTCTCTGGAAGGATGAAGGGAAAAGCTAGAGTATGTTAAATAAGAGAGAAAATTTTAGGACTTTAAAAACTAATGAGATGCATCCTCCGCGAACTTAATGGCATCTGTTACCATTTAGGCTTCAAATCTTCATTAAAAGTGACAAATGTTAAATAAATAAAAAAGAAAATGCTGTCTATTGTATACAGATGAAGTTTACAAATTACAGATCCATGGTAACTGAAAAATGTAAAGGACAAAAAAAAAAGGATCTGGAACAAGCCTTATTCTGCTGTATTTTTTCTGTTTTTAATGAACAAAATAAAGAGAAGCTTAGATCAATCACAAATATTATACTGTAACAGAATGCTCGGAGGTTTTTGTATCAGACACATTTACATAAACAAAAGAAATTTTTGTAGCGCACACCTGTGGTCAGAACACACGAGAGTTTTTCCGACTCAGTTCATATTGGAAATGTCGGCGTCTCTTTCTTTGGTCGAATTCAAAGTTTGCACTTGTTAATTACAGACTAGAGGGTTTGTCCAAAAGCCACTGAGAATCTTTGCAAATCCTTGGTGTAGATGTCTGAAGCTTGAAAAACGGATGGATGCTGGGTGTGGTGCCAACTAGTGCTTGATTCATCTGTCATGAAGCCTGTCTCTGGTTTAACCTCACTGTAAATAGATTGACAGTTTTGATTCTGTGCCGTGTTTGCCAGAAAAAATGGAGAGTTCAGATACTCAGACCATTTAATGTCTTCTTGTTCTGCTTGTGAGTGTACTTGGGCATCTCTATCAGCCTTCACAGGGTCTGCCAATCCCCATGCTAAACTGTTGTTCTCGAGGAAGTTATTGCTGCTTTGCAATTGGATACTCCCACTGCGCCCATTGCTTTTGCTGCTGCTGTTATTGAGGATACTAGCTTCCCAGTTCTGAACCCCATCAATATCGCCAGAGGATATGGAAGGATTATCAGACTGGAGACTCGCGGTGCCAGTGGTACTTACATGTGTTGTTGGGAAAATTGAGCTTGGCACAGAATTAAGCATAGCAGGAGTCATACTAGAATTGAGCTCTGACATCACCTGAGAGGAACTAGAACCTGACATGAAGCAAAGAGAGCTGTTGGGATTTGCAGGGAGCCCAACATGTGGTGGATAGTTCAACTGCTGAAAAGAGAAGTAACTCATCATATCAGAAGGTCCACAACTGGTAATGGAGGCATCAAAGAACAAATCCTGGGCGGGTCGATTGCTGGTCAAATTGCTGCAGCTATTGGCGACCTTGGAGCCGGAGGAAACTTCAAGCGGGTATCGCTCCGAAGGCATTGCATTTGGCCTCGGCTTTGCAGGCTCTGCTACTCTCAAATCATTGGATACCCCTGAGGCTTTGTGATGGCTCTTGTCGGCTGCGGTGGGTTTGTCGTTGTCGTTCTCAACCTCAGAGAGCGGCTTGTGGGTGTTCGGGTCAATGCCTCTCTGCCTAAGCTTCTTCTTGAGGCAGGAATTCCATAGATTTTTAATCTCATTGTCAGTTCTTCCGGGTAACTGAGCTGCAATCTGCGACCACCTGATGAAGCAGCAGACACACATGTAAGTATTTCATATTCATGGAACGAGAACAGTAATCCGAACGACAAAAGATAGGGAGGCCCTGTGAATAGTAGTTCCTCGACGAAGGATAACCACCTGTTGCCTAGGACTGCATGGAGTTCAATTATCAAATTCTCTTCCTGCTGCGAGAATGCCCCTCTTTTCAAATCGGGCCTCAGGTAATTTATCCACCTCAGCCTGCAGCTCTTGCCACACCTCTGCAAACCTGCGTCACGGGCCACACAACCACGGAGAAAGCAAGAGGAGAAGCTTAAAATGATTACAGAGACGCACACTACTACAAGGAAACAGAAAGAAACGAGACGGGTGAGTACCGGCAAGTTTGGGTACGGAGCTCCAACATCCATGGCCATGCTTGGTGATGTAATTGAGAAGCTTCTCGTCTTCCTCGGGAGACCAGAGGCCTTTCCTTAGTTTCTGCTTGTAACAGCAAGAGTGTCTTCCCATGTGCACTTGACTCGTTCAATCCACCTTGGATGCTTCTGGTCAGTAAGAAGGCAGGAGGAGCTTTGACATGAAGAGTACGTCTTGAGGATTGTTTTGGAAAGCTAGCTGAAGAGAACAAAATGTGAGCTTCATAGGGAATCATGAAATAAATAGAATAGAAGGAAGAGGCTTTTAAGGTGTAGTGGAGGTGGAGGGGTAGTTGTTAGGCATTGAGCTCTTCTAACTTGTGAATGACTTTACCCAAAAAAAAAAAAAAAATTTGCGAATGACTTCCCGAACTGGGCTCCTCTCCCTTCAAAGGCTTGTGACTTAGAGTGGTGACCCTTTGGGTGGCTCATCTTATCTTCAACGGTCCAGATCAAATCCTTCCATATCACGGGACACTCAACATCATCTGCTTTGAGTTTGACTTCTGAAAATAAATCACTCATCACACTTTTTATCAGTGATAACATAACATCAATATATTTCTATTTAATTTAAAAACATTAATTTTAAGAAAATAATAGTATAAATATTATATTACGATTTGCTAACCATATCAAGATAATTGCATTAGTATAAATCCATGTCAGTAAAAAAATAATGCCATAAACTGTAATTTTTTACTAACTGGAATCAAGTGGATTTAATGGACATTATACATGTATACGTTACATATGGGTAGTGAATTTTAAATGAAAAGGTTTAATTAATAGAAATAATGTCTTGCCTTTAAAGGATTTATCTAGATGCATGCAGGGGAGTGGACATGTCCAGAAATTGAAGCAAGTGTGACAATAGTTTGCTATTGTTGTAGGCTTTTGCAAAAAGAGGAGGATTTTAACAAACGATAACACAGTTTCACTCAGGTTTCCAAGTGCAAATTTCTTGCTCAAAGGAAATGCCCCGTATTGGCAGCCTTCACAAACTAAGCATTCTGCATTCATTTCGCCATAACGGAACCATTCTCTTTCTTCCTTCCCCATACTTCTTATTTTTAGCTTTCCATGATGCTTTTATTTTTTTCCAACCTACATGTATCTTTCTCTCAGAAATAATATTGTTCAATGCACAATTAGATATTAAATATAAATATCCCCCAACGACAATTTATAAAAGAGAAAATTAAATACTTAATTTTATATATTTAAGATACCCATCTTCAATCAAATTAAGAATTTATTTTCTCAATAACTTACCCTCCAACCAACTCTTGTTAATAATATTTTATTTTTTTTAAAAAAAAGTAAAATTCACTCTTATTGGTTTAATTGAAAATAATTAATTAAGCATATAAGATTAAATATGTAAGTCCTCTCCTCCTTCTTATAAAATCATGATTTGGCTGCAAAATCCAAAAATGCTTTTGACATGTTTGCAAGTTGAGGCGATTTTTCTTTCCTTGGAAAATGCCGGAAACTCTACCAACCCCGAAAAATTTTGGTGTACTTTGCAATTTGAAAGCCACCCAAGTGTTTAATTAAATGTCGATTTCTTTTAAGTTTAGTTGTCCGAATTCATACAAGTTCTGCGATTGTGTGGAAAGCATTAAAAGCGTAGTTAATTATGGAATTGATCCGCTCCACTTCTCTTCATATAAATAAGGATTCCTCAATCCCAATAATGCAATTGGCCTCTAGTTTGTTTATTGGAGGCTGCAATTCTTGAAACTCGAAAGCAGACAAATGTTGATAATCAATTATTACAATTTGCAGGCATGCTTAATTTGACAAAACTTTAAATGCGGTATTCTATTCCATTCATCAATGCTAGCTTGGGCTCAATTCATTCGTACTTGGCTTTAGACTTTTCAGCTCAAGCATGTTAGGAATCAAGGCTTTTAATTGTTGAACATGTATTGAAGGTTTAGAGTGGCATTAAGATGTTTAAGTATAAGTGAACTTAAATGAGTGTGGAAAATTGTACTTAATAAATAGTATATAATAAAATAAAAGGAATTATAAATTTCACCCTTGATATTTTGAGTTAGGATGGGGTGTGATGTTGTTATTTTTGTTTATTTTCTCTCTTTATTCCATGGCTTTATCGCTGATCACGGATTGAAGCCTATGTAAACATAATCAGTATTATAATAATGTGTAGGAGAGGCTACTCATCAAGTTGACATTCATTGCTTAGTTGACGCCCATTTTTAATGTGGCTGTTAAGGTCCTTTAAAACCTCAGAGGTTCATCTTGTAATCAATCCTCATGTGTGTAATGATAACGGTTGGATTCTTTATATTTAGGATCTTGGTTTCACAGTTAAAATTAATTTAGTTTCAACTTATTTTACAAGGAAATTAATCATAAACTTCTATGATTTTTGTGAAAAGTATGCATTCATGTTTATTTTTTGAAAAAAATCATAAATCTCTTTCAAATTAGAAATTAATAATATATTCTAGTATAATTTTTTTAACTAGAATACCTTCTGCTTCTAGTAATATTTTTATATGGCTATCTCTATACAGCTCTCTGGCTCAATGTGTAATCTAAATACATATTAATAACTATATATGACGTTTTAGTTTTCTTGCTATTTATGAAGGATATTTGAGTGAAATTTTCAAAAATTCTGCAATTTATTCTGAATAAAAATAAAACGTGAAGAAATATATTAAAAATCGAATTGCATGATGTTAAGTTGTAAAAAACTATATAATTAGTCTCGAATGCCATACCGTTGCTATGTTTTAATTGGAATTTTAATCATGAGAGTCTAATGAATTTCATGTAAATTGTTAATTTGTTATGTTCAATTCTTATAGCTTTATAATATTTTGATTGAGCTAGCTTTCATCCTTTGAATTTGGCTGAAAGTCATAAATTCAAAGACCATAGAAAAATAAAAATGAAAAATGACAATTACAGACCATCTAAAGATATTAATGACAATTCAAAATCTCAAAATATTAACATGTTAGAAAAAGATCATGATCTTTATTTGCAATTAAAATACTTATAATTATTTAAATAGCCAATAAAAGGTTCATTGAGAAAGATCACTTGTAAATATATATAAAAAGTTAATTATGAATTAATAAATAATTTCATGAATATATACATTGTTATTTGTGAATTTTAAAAAAATTACTAGTGAATTTGTAGAAATTCAGTTGTGAATAATATTAAAAAACATAAGAAAGTCTTCAAATTATTGATTTAAGATTAAAATTAATTAATAATCATTTACAATTCATCATTACACACACACACACAACTGTAATTCTTTAAATTTATAATTGATTGTCCCCAAATCAAAAATTAACCAGTGATCATTCTAAAATTCATAAGTGATTATTTTGAAATTCAAAAGTGACATTGTATAAGTTTATAAAATTATCTATATATTCACAATTGACTCTCCATTATTTACAAATAATATTATTTAAATTCATGGTTAAATTTATTTAAATTCATGATTCATATTCCATTAATTATTTTAATAATTAATTATTTTTTATTGCAAATAAAGACCATAGCCCTTCTTCCATGATATTTCAATAATCGAGTTCTTCAATTATTATTACAGCTTTTAAAATTAAGTTATCTGTAATAGCTACTTTCCCAAATAAATGTTCTTCCCAGTTAGGTTTATCAAGCTAGTCACCACCTTGCATGCGCAGAAAGACAAATTCATTAAATAGTAAAATAATTAATTATTTGGAATAATTAATCAACCAGCAAATCACTTCAAAGCACCAAAACTGAAGACAACAGTAAGAGTGCTAGCATGTGTGTAATAAAGTCATGTAAATTAAATTTATGCTATCCAAAGTTGATCTCTCGGAAGAAAATGAATATACAATCATATTTCTTGGAATAAAAGTAATCAAAATACACTAAAATACTACCCATTTCCTTTGTCCTTCTTAGATGGCACAACTGCACAATATTCTCGTCAATTTATTCACTGATCGCTCACAAACATCCAAACTAGTAATTTGTCTGTTAGCACATATTCTTCGACGATCATGTTTTGAACTTGAAATTAAAAAAAAATAACTGGGCCCATTATTCTCAAATAAGAAAGTGGATGAATTAGTGATATCAATAATGTTGATTCCTGTGTGATAGCCTGTCTTTCTTTGTTGTGACATTGAGATGCTTCCATGCCCTAAAGGAGACATCCAAATGGGTTATTTTTTAAAAAAATAATAATAAGAGAGCATCAGCTCCGGAAGATGCTTGTAATCTCCATGCCTCATCATGCATCTCTAAGCTTATCCTAATTTTTCCCATATATATGAGCTGTTCACCCCGAGTCAAACTTCAACACATCCTCTTGTAAAATGTTTACTTGTTGCATTCCCCTTTACGTGTCAATAATTTGTGTCGGCTTCGTTGTCCTTTATATATATTTTCACTGAAAAAATAATCAAACGTGACCATTTAATTAGTGACCAAATTGAGGTTTGGTCAGCTTAGCTTTGTTATTGCAGATACCTCCATTTTCTTGCCCTCTCTCCTCCGCTCCCTCTTCTCTCTGTGTTTTCCTTCGAATACATATATATATATATATATATATATGTTCATGTCTGCGTTTCTGGGAATCAATCTCTAACAGCAAATGATTGGAACAATATGAAGAGGCATGCGAAATATTCGCTAGCTGCTGCAAGGTGGCATTTGAATGTTTATTCGAGTGGTCTTGTTCATGAAAACACGCACGTTGATGGTGTTACTGTTATTACTATTATTATTATATTAAATATTTTGGGTAAAGTGAAGGAAGGTAATCGCAATTAATTAATTAAGAACAATGAACATGTTAAACCACTGGGATAATTAGAGGGAGACAAAAGGATGGAACAAATCTAATCCAAAATCAGTTTGTACAATTTGATGTGTGTATTTGGGTCACAGGTTGATGAGCTGGGATTCCTTTGCGAAACACTGAATGCATGTATGGAAATTTTAGCAGATGGAGCCCCTCACCCCTCAGTTTTTAGTTTTTCTTTATATTTTTATTTTGGCAGGGGAAAAAAGAGCTGCATAATAGAAAGATTATTGTGTGTGTGTATAGCATTATTGTGAAATGAGAATATTTGACATTAATCTTGGTAGGTACATCACCAAAACTAAGCTTATAATTAAGGTCCAATGCATATTCCCACAAATCCAGATTAAAGAAGGACTAAAAGCC